GGGTCGGTAGAAACAACAAACGGGACGGAGTCTCAAGAACTTCTGACCATTCATTCATTGAATAAATATTTAGTGAACCCTGTTCTAAGTGCTGGGGATACGCAAGCAACAAAACAGACAAAAATCCATTCCCTAGAGTGGGAGAGACAGATAATAAGCAAGATAATAAATAAAAATGTGTGGTGTATTAAGGAGAAAAGTGAAGCAGAAAAGGAGACAGAAAATGTGTTAGGGGAGAAATCTGCAGGTTTTAGAAAGGGAGAGGAAGGAAGGCCTCCTGGAGTTTATGTTTGAGTGCAGACTTGAAGAAGGCGAAAGAACAAGCTGTGCAGATATCTGGGGAAGAGCTTTCCAGGAAGAAGGAACAGCAAGTGCAAAGGTTTCTAGATGGGCGTGTCCCTGGCATGTTACAGCCAGGAGGCCCATGTGGGTGGAGGGGGGTGAACAAGGTGGGGAGACGTAGGAGATGGGGGTCAGAGAGGTGACAACATGATGGGGGTACAGATCACAGAGCTGTCCTTTCCAATACAGAAGCCATCAGCCACATGCGGCTATTTACATTTAAATAAAATAAAATTCAATAAAATTAAAAATTTATCCCTCAGTCACTCTAGCCACATTTCGAGTGCTCAATAGGCACATGTGGCTAGTGGCTACCATATTGAGAAACTGGAACATTTCCATCATTGCAAAAGTTCTACTGGACAGCATTGACAGAGCCTTAGAAATCATTGTATCGACTTTGACTCTTACCCTAAATGAGATGAAAATAACAGAACAATCACAAAGAGAATATAAAATTACTATGTTGCAAATGATTAAAAGAAGGAATCAAAGCCCAAGAAAAGACCACGACAGTGTAGAAAAGGGCAGATTTGAAAAAGAATCAATAGGGGACCAGCTCCGTGGCTTAGCGGTTAAGTGCGCTCACTCCGCTGCTGGCGGCCCGGGGTTCAGATCCCGGGCGCGCACCAATGCACAGCTTGTCCGGCCATGCTGACGCCGCGTCCCACATACAGCAACTAGAAGGATGTGCAACTATGACATACAACTATCCACTGGGGCTTTGGGGAAAAAAAGGAGGAGG